TAAGCAGTTTGTCCGGAAATTTTTGCTTAATTCATTAGAACGGCTTTTGAGATTAATGTTGTAAGTAGGGGTAGAGATGGTTCTAAGCGATGAAAATGAAATCTCCAACGCATATAACATAGTTAATATTTTTACTTTGTGTGAGTAATTGTGGTAAACTAAAATTTATTTGCTGCTTAACTCCTGTGACACGATGTGCAATTTTTCTTTAAACACACCATCTTTTTTTGAACTGTTAATACAGCCTACAGCAATGCTGTGATGCAGTTACACACAACTGAGCTTTTTGTACATAGGGTGTACAAAAAAGAGTGACGATATAATCTGAGTCGAAATTACTTCAGAAAATAGGACTAGAGAATGGGAAGCCATGTTTACCAGCCAGGTTGATAATACAGTGTTACAAAAGCCAAACCACCTTTTTTAAAAATTGCCATCCCTTGAATTTTAGACACATTCATCCTTTGTTTATATGTCAGGACTAATTTGAAATAGGTTTAACTTGAAGCATGTGATATACCCACCACTTTTGTGTGATGCACAAGAATTTGCTGTTTGCGTAAATGCCTATAACTCCTATTTTCTTTCTGAACACAACGGAAAAATAAATGTTTAGGTTGAGAAAGCTAGCCTTTGCGTTAGGAAAGTAAGAAAAACGATGTAGTGTTGACATCTAATGAAGGTTTGACAATTGACCCTTGGGTAGTGAAAAATGAACCCTTGCTCAAGGAGAAATGAAGAACAAATTAGACTTGTTTTGGTGCAAACTCCTCTTTACTTGAATTTAGTAGCAACTGCGAGATTTAACTGTGTCTCCTTTGGTAACTGAATCATATAATACTCAGATATCAGATGTCTGATGACTGAAAATTATGACTAGTATCCGGAGAACCTTGTAGCTCATATAGATTTGATTTTCTATTAATTTTCTACTATTTAGCCTGTGCTGGTGTAAACTGCCAGTTAGAGTTATAAGAGGAAACTGTATATTTTACTATCAGAAAAATGCCTGTTCAGTCGAACCTCGATTATCCGGATTTCTCGATTATCCAGACTTTTTCTCTGGTCCCAATTTTGTTGCGAATACCTATCAATCATGATCAAGACCCGTAGACGTACACTTTTCTAAACTACAGCGTGAGTTTTTTTCGCTTTTAAAAGGCAAAAGCAGCGCTCGCACGCTTGGTAACTAATCTTGGCTTAGAGTTGCTTTAATTACTAGGTGAGAATTCACGCTCATTGGCGAAGGACGAGCGAAATTTTCTGCAACGATTAATTATGAAAAGACTGTTCAACAGATATCATATCAATTAAAATCAGCGTTCGATGAACTCCGTATAGGAATCAGATCTATGTACTGTAAAATGGGTGTTAGTTCAGAATCTATGCATTATACAATAACAACAACAACAACAACTTTATACGAAACGAA